ACAAAAAAAAAAAAATCAATTAACAATACCAACGGACAGTAGTTTTTAAATTAGGTCAGGCGTCGGCAAGCTGTGGCTCGCGAGCCGCATGCGGCTCTTTTGATGTCAACATGCGGCTCTCGAGTTCCATGCACGAATGTTGATATTTATATTATTTCATGTTCAAATCTCATTAAAAAATAGTATTCTGTAAAGAAAAAAAAAATTAAGCGGGGTTAAAAAACTCATCAGAGAACAGTGAGAATAGTTAAGGTAGAAAGTAAACGGACATCAGCTTGGGTACCAGGCCCACATCCGTTCTGTAGCCAGCACCGTGGCGACTATTCCATGTTTGCCACTGTCAAAGTGCCGCCTTTTTCGAATGTCTTAAATGGGGACTGTTATTTTATTAATAAAGCATAATAACGCATTCCTCTACCAGTCAGTATGCATTAATTTGACCTGAGTAACGAAGTATTTTAGTTATTAGCTTCCTACGGTTGAGCTATAAGGTACTGGACTCTGGGTTCATGTAGGGTGAAAGATAAGCCTTGTGAGAACCGAAAGACAGAAGCGACCGATACAGTAATCAAACCGATATCCAAACCATTAAGTCGGAGTTTGCCGTGTTGATGCCTGCCTGGCTATGAAAGATACCTACTGAACCAGGGGTGTCCGTAAAGAAAGAAAAAAAAGTTATTGGCTTCTTAAGTGGATTGGGATAGTCCTATAGTTATATTATATAATTACTAATTTTATCATAGCAGATCTAGCTAAACAGTTTTTGTGCGAAACATTTGTTTGTTTAAATATGAAACAATAATTTCATATTTAATGCTATTTATTTCAAATCAAAAATGAAATTTATTTACTTAATCCTTATGAAATACTAAAATAATGGAAAAAAATGTAAGTGGCTCTTTAAAAAACTCGGAAATTTTGTAAACTGTAACATTTGGCGCTTCCGTCTCAAAATGTTGCCGACCCCTACACTATAGCCCAGGGGTCGGCAACCTTTTGAAGGGGAAGAGCCAAAAGTTACAATTTACAAAATTTCCCAGTTTTTAAAGAGCCACCAACAATTATTTTTCAACATTATGTATTTAATTAGGATTAGTAAAATAAATTTGATTTGTTGTTTAAAATAAATAGCGTTAAATATAAAATATTTTTAATTCATTTAAAAACATACACATTTTTCAACAGAAAAATAAAATTATTAATCAAATAATATACTATCCCAATCCACTTTAGAAGCTCTTATTTTTTTTACGGATAACACCGGCTCAGAGGGTGTCTCCCATTAGCCAGGCAGGCCTCAACACGGCAAACCCGACTAGCTGCTTGGATATCGGTTTGATTACCGTGTATCGGTCGCTTCTGTTCTTAGGTTCTCGCCAGGCTTATAATCCTCCCTACCTGAACGCAGGGTAAACTTGTACCCCACCGCCCAGTGCTGAAGAAATTATATAACCATTAATATGTGTGCAAAGAGCTGGAGAGCCGCATGTTGACACCAAAAGAGCCGCATGCGGCTCGCGAGCCGCGGGTTGCCTACCCCTGCTATAGTGAATAAGGGATCGAAAAATTCATTGTACAAAATATTTATAAGCAAGACGCTAGGTAGTAAATTTTTTTTAAACATAATATTAAAAAAAAATATTTTAGCGTGCGCCGAAAAAAATCTAGGTTGTAATTAATTAATTGTGTAAAATATTATAATTAAAAGACCACATTTGAATGTGAATTGTTTAAATTTATAAAATTTTAAGAACATTATATTTATATTATCCTATTTTGCTTTGTTATCTTGTTTGAGGTTGAAAAAAACAAATTTAATCGAAAGTCATCTCCCTTGGACATTTCATTACTATTAGAAACATTAATGCTTAATATCTTAAGCATGGTGTAATTTGTGTTACTCTCCACTTCTTAGTATCATATATGAGAACTGATAACATATATTGCAGTTAAATCCAAAGAATTTTGGAAATCATAAAAAGTGGTAAGGACGACTAAGTTGTACAAAGGAAGTTGGAAGTTTACCTGCTCTTGCTGATGCAGCTTTCGATGCCCTCATCTATTCTACCCCGTCACGTGACGGTCTTAGTGACTTAACCCCCAGGGCTGGGCCAGAATCCTGTCTTGTTTTTTTCATGTTAGCAGACACAGGTGGCAGGATACCTGAGGACCTATCGACCCCGTGACTTGTGGCAGGATACCTGATAGAGGACCTATCAACCCCGTGATTTGTGGCAGGATACCTGAGGACCTATCGACCCCGTGACTTGTGGCAGGATACCTGAGGACCTATCGACCCCGTGACTTGTGGCAGGATACCTGATAGAGGACCTATCGACCCCGTGACTTGTGGCAGGATAGAGGACCTATCGACCCCGTGACTTGTGGCAGGATACCTGAGGACCTATCGACCCCGTGACTTGTGGCAGGATACCTGATAGAGGACCTATCGACCCCGTGATTTGTGGCAGGATACCTGAGGACCTATCGACCCCGTGACTTGTGGCAGGATACCTGAGGACCTATCGACCCCGTGACTTGTGGCAGGATACCTGATAGAGGACCTATCGACCCCGTGACTTGTGGCAGGATAGAGGACCTATCGACCCCGTGACTTGTGGCAGGATACCTGAGGACCTATCGACCCCGTGACTTGTGGCAGGATACCTGATAGAGGACCTATCGACCCCGTGACTTGTGGCAGGATAGAGGACCTATCGACCCCGTGACTTGTGGCAGGATACCTGAGGACCTATCGACCCCGTGACTTGTGGCAGGATAGAGGACCTATCAACCCCGTGACTTGTGGCAGGATAGAGGACCTATCGACCCCGTGACTTGTGGCAGGATACCTGATAGAAAACCTATCGACCCCGTGACTTGTGGCAGGATAGAGGACCTATCGACCCCGTGACTTGTGGCAGGATACCTGAGGACCTATCGACCCTGTGACTTGTGGCAGGATAGAGGACCTATCAACCCCGTGACTTGTGGCAGGATAGAGGACCTATCGACCCCGTGACTTGTGGCAGGATACCTGATAGAGGACATATCGACCCCGTGACTTGTGGCAGGATACCTGATAGAGGACCTATCGACCGCGTGACTTGTGGCAGGTACCTGATAGAGGACCTATCGACCCAGTGACTTGTGGCAGGATACCTGATAGAGGACCTACCGACCACGTGACTTGTGGCAGGATAGAGGACCTACCGACCACGTGACTTGTGGCAGGATAGAGGACCTACCGACCACGTGACTTGTGGCAGGATAGAGGACCTATCGACCTCGTGACTTTTTTTTTCTCCCTGTCTGTTGATTTTGAGGGGAGGTAAGCGTCGTCAACAAATATGGCGTCGTTTCTGGACGATCCATTAAGTAAGACAAAACATTTAGGGAAAACTAAACAATATCATCACTACTTGAGAATACAAGCGTCCGACTTTATAATAAGCGTGGGGGTCAAGCGTACACGATGACCTACAATGACCACAACGCTTGTACAATGTACATGTACACACCCGAACACTTAATGAACTTTTTTTTTTTGATATTATATAAAACAATTTTATTGTTGTTTTTGAAATGTTTTTTTTCCTCATACAAGATATTTACATCGTTAGATTGTTTAAAGGAAATATATTTAACGAGCCGGCCCGCGGCATAACATACGCCGCTATTTAGTTGTTGTTTTTTCTACTTTTCAGTAATTCATAATTTGTGAATTCGACAGTACCAACGCTGATACTGAAAATATTTCTTTAAAACACTAGAAGTAGCTCGTTAAGGACCATAACCCCCCCCCCCCCCCTTCCTTCCCCCCTCCAACGTTTAAAATCGTTTCAAACTAAATTATCTGCCCCTAATAGCCGTCACTAAACCCGACTCCACGAAGGTAAACATAGCGTGAACCACAGCTCACTAAGACCATGTAGGGGTGGGGATGGTAGGGAGCGCGTTTTACAGCTTGTTTTCTAGCGTCTCCCAGAAGAGAATTATATATATAGATTATTCGAAAAAAAATATTATTCATTGTCCTAAGCTCTGATTGACTGAAAACGTGCAAGTTGAGATATTTAAAAAATATTTCCTTAGCAGTAATTTTAGTTTCAAATATGTTATAATTACAAGTTTTCTAGAAGTTTAATATTTGTTAAGAGTAGGTTGATTCTGGATTTGTTTAATAACATGGCTTCGTTTAGTCGATGTAAATATATTTTAACGTTAAATGGTGTGACCCCCAGGATTAAAAGAGGTATTACTTTTGTTAAATAATTGTGCATCTACAGTTTTAGACTTAAAATTTTAACACTAAGGAACCATTATTTCTCTAAATAAATATTAACAAATCCTAGACATTTTAATTTTGAACTACAAAATAAATAGTTGTACCTAAAGGTTTTTGTAAATCAAAAGATTAAAACACATTTCGATGTAGTGTCGTAACTTAAGTTATACTGCATCTAAATGTTCGTTTAGATTGAGAGCAATACTTGATTAAATAAAAATACTTATTTATTAAATTAATTTTTTTTTTTTTTTATTTTTTTTTTTTTTTAACATTTAAACTTTTATTTTTCAAAAATGATAATTCCTTATATTTTTTTTAAAAGTAACTATTGGTCATGACAAAGTAACTAATCATACAGTAACTTAAAATAACAATGTTTATATTAAGATGAAAGATCCAAAGATGAGAGCTCAGTAAACTACAAATTTAGGGCCAGAATTTGAAAACAAAATGAAATGTACACATTAATGAATTTTACAAAATGAAAGATGACATGGGATGATAGTAACAGACAAAATGCTCAGCACAAACTATATGGGGCAGTTGAATAAAGAACCTACATGTCTTTAAGCGTTAACTGCTGTTTTCAATTTCCTTGCTGAAGTCTTTACATCATCATTAACCATAATTAACATGTAATAAAAAAATGTCCTTGCTGGCTTGGATGTGAGAAAATCTCTACACTGTACAACACACTTTCCCAGTTTAATCAGCAATTTAACTTCCATTCCAATGTCAAGCTTTCTTCTACCATGTTCGAGACAAGCAACCACCCGTCTGTTGTTGAAAAAACATCGATTGAATCTCCATCTTCCATTTTCAGCATAGCCGGAGTGTCCTCATCATTTATAGGATTTCCATCAAATCTAAATCTTACAACTCCTGTTTGTATTCCATCTCTATTACAATAAGCCCCCATTAACTTTCGCAGTGGTGTGTTCTTCATAATTTTAAAATGGACTACACTACCATCTTGACCAGTTACTTTTAGATTAATGTGTTCACTTTCTTTAGGGTGCTCCTTTATCTGGCTTGGTTGGTCTTCCATTCTTTCTGTTTCACTCTCTCAGCTTAAACTCAATGTTCTTAAAATAGCCCACAAAGGGAAGGTAAATTAGTTTTTTTTCTTTTCTTTTTTTTCTTTTTTTTTTAAAAGTAAAAAAAAAATAGTTATAAAGACCGGAAGGTAAATTAATTTTTTTTTTTTTTAATTTTCACATTATTTTTAATCAAAACATGTTTATATTACAGTAGTTTTACATTTATATCATTGCATTTATCACAACAAAAACATACACCTTTACAACTATACACAAAGTCCTTCACATAAAAATATGTACGTTAAAGATGACTGAGGTGTTGACAAGGTTTGTATGGCAGTGCACAAATAAAGTTGCCGCACAATGTCTCCTGACACATGCCAGATACTGATTAGGGTGGAGTTGATCAAACCAGAGTACCCATTTTACACACTTAATCATTTATCTACTCCATCTCTTGACTCCAGGACTTAATCAGATTACATCAAAGTTTGCCCAAGGAAAAAACATCAATACCAGGAACAAAAGTCAATAGAAAATCTTGTTTTAAAGGGCTTATGTTATAAAATGATTCATTAAAAAAAAGGGATTGGTCACATAGTCTATAATGTTACAGTTAGTGTTTATGACTTAAAGCAGGACAGAAACATTGGTCAGTGTTTGCCTCTTCAAACAGATTTGGGTATTCATCAGTGTATGTGACAGGGAGCCTAACAAAGAGATAGTGTGGAGTGTTACGACTTAAGCAAGAGTGTACAAGAGTGTAACAGGAGGTCATCAAAGGCTAACTAAGAAGAGAAGCTTAAAAAAGCTGACCATTTTTCAGCTAAGCTTGTGTTGATATACTAGGAATTTTTTTTTTCTTTTTAATGCATAAGAATGTTTTAATATACCATAGACCAAAAAATTTAATTACATAAAATAATATGCAATGAATTCTTTAACTGAACAAGTACATAAAAAGTAAATCCATAACTGATGTGGAAAAAAATCACATGAACATACAGCTGTTAGAATTCCCTGTGTTTATTATGTTGGCCTAAATTTAGAGGTTGTTGACAAATGTTAGCTCGAAGGGTCATGGTGTGAGGGGCGGGGCAGGGGTTTCCTGGCCACAAACATAACACAGTTGTAGTAGTTTTGCATGAGAGACAATGGGTTTTGTGTGTATGAGCAGCGCACATTCATTTCTTCTTTCTCAATTTCAAAGCCAATATCCAGTATAACTTTTCTAAACTTCTTCATAACTTAGTTCTATGGACATCTCATTGACTTGACCAGCCCAGTGGTACAACAGTGGACCTAAATTCACAAGGTATCCTCCAGGTACCAGAATACTGTAAATTGTTTCCAAATACTCAATTATATTATGGGCTGTGTCCAAAAAGAATACAGTCACCACTGCATTCCAAGAATTTGGTTCAGTGTAAATTTTAGTGAAATCTCCAGCCACCATGGAGAAGTCTGCCTCAGGGCTGATCTGCAGGGGTGAGATGTCTGGGAACATGCAGCGCCTGGTCTGGTCTTTAGTGGCCAGGTTGTTGGTGAACTGGTGGATCCAGGGGTAGAGAACCATTGAGTTCCTCTCTTGACATCTGTTTAAAATAAAATTGGAAGCCAAAAGCATGTGTAGACTCCACTCATTCCCCTGGCAGGAGTAGCCCAACCTGGCAAATTCAAATACCAGCCTCCCCAGTCCTGCACCTGGCACCAAAATCTCGACCTCAGATGGTTTTCTTGAGCCCAAGCGTGTCAGCACTGCGTGCATGACTGGCTGATAACACGCCTCCCTCTCAGCTCTGCCATCCTCACTCCAGTCTCTCATGATCTGTTTTAGTGTCGTTTTGACCTTGTCCATTTCCTCACACGTTGGAGGCGCACAATCATTTTTCTTCACTCTGTTAAAATCAGCTTCAGAAATGCACTCCTCCTTGTTGAGAAGCATGTACTGGCAGTCTTGTAGAATGAGTTTAATCACTTCGTAATTGTGGATGATACAGGTCTGGATGGTTTCAAGGTTGTCGATGTATCCCAGGATTCTGTTTTTGTGTTGGTCACAGAGGTTGCTGTAGGATACTTTACTCAACTGAAGCCGCTTCAAGCTGTGCATTTTGTAACATTTGAAAGAATTAATAACGCGAGCGAAGTGTTCTCGTTCTTCTCTTTCTTCCATTTCTAATGCTACCTGCTGATCCGAAACTTCTGCCAT